CGCGTACACGCGTACATTGCATGTACGTACGAGGTCCGGCTGTTAAACAATTTGGATTACGACTGAATTGGATTCCGGTGCACTCTCGACCTTCAGAAAACAATTTATGCCGCTCGAAAACACGCGCCCGAGATGGAAAATCCTCGCTATAGGCCTCTTTTAACAACTCATAGCGCTCGGTCGGAGTTTTTTTTTTAGTTTAACGAGAAAATTTTACGTTTATCCGTTGCTCATGTTTTTCGTCGCACGTCGTTTTCGGCAAGCGAAAAAAACACGTTCGTTTCTAAACGCTACAGAAAAAAAATACTAATGCGCCAACGAAAACCCAATTTTGTATTGGCATAATAGACACTCCCAGCTAACCAGCGCTGTATTCGGTTTACCCCTAACCTTTTTGGGACGCTCTCTGCGCGCGCGGTCTCGTTTTTCAATAGCCAAACCTCGTATAGTGACGGCATTGCACGGCAATAACGGACGCGCGAGATGGGCGAACGCCACGGGCCCACGGCAGTTTAGGGCGGCCCGGCAGTAGCCTAGACCGGGGCGCCGTCGGACTGGTGAGGGTGTTTTTCGTTTCGCCTATCGTTTCGGCCTTTGGGACCGTGATACAATATACACGGTTCCGGTTGCGCCACTGGCCCGGGCCGCTGACGCGTTTAATGCGCGATCGGATTCGGAAGCCGAAAACTTTACTATCCGCCGGAGTAGCGAGTGGCGATCGTTCGCCGTAATCCGTTTCGTTTACACCGGCTTTGTGAACGGTCGTGAACACGAATGTGCGCCGAAATACAGATTATTTTTTGGAAAATTTTCATCCTAAAATAATTCTATTCAATTTCGGATTCTATACGCTGAAATTCGCCACAATTTAGAAAACAATTAATAACGTTGCAATTTGAAATTTAAAACAATCGTTGTTCTAACGGCGGTCAATTCTGTTATCGGCGACATCGACTCAGTTTACGGAAGAACAATTTAAAAGCTCGCGGAATTCATATCTGAACGCTGCGCGGGACGAAAGAATCAGGAACGTCCGACAACTGTTTACAGCCTATCCGTCGTTATCTACGGTCTTATCGGTAAAAATGTCCGTTCGAGCAATCGCGCGCCGTCATCGGGAAGAGTGCGCCGGTGCGCGTGCACGGTACGCCACACCGTTTCGTACCGTCCCGGATATCACAGAGCCCCCCCCCCTCTATTATTATAGTGCAGTTATCGGCTCTGATCAGTGACGTAAACATCTTTTTCGCTCGAGTGTGCACCATGCGGGCGTATGAGGAAAATTCCCCCTCCCCACATACACACCCCCTTTGGTTTCCTTTTTTTGTTGTTGTTTTTTTTTTTTTTTTTTTAAACTTCCTCACGAGGAAACCGTTCGCTCTGTTCCCCCACCTCCCCCCCCCGGGCGTCTCCACAATCAAAAGTCGTGCACGCGCGGCGATGATGATATCCGGACGCGACGGAACCTCCGACTCTCGGGCCGCCCTGTATAATATACAATGTTGCGGCACCTATATACATAATACAATATAAGCGTTTACGCGGTCGGCGTGCGTACAATAATAATGGTATAAATCGGTCGGCGAAGCATAAAAGGGCGTTTACGTTTCGTAAATAAATCATATTATTATTGTAATGCGACCAGCTCCGTCCGTCCGTCACTCTCTCTCTCTCTCTCTGAGCTCGCGCTCTCTTTCTCCCCGTTCATTCCGCGATTGCGATCTTCAATCGCTTTCAAAAGCCCCGCTGTCAACCGTACGTCCCCGACTGTGTGTGCGTATACCTCGTATACGTCGCTTTTCGAGACGACAGCCGCGTTATTATAACAACATAAATGATACAGTGTTTTATTATTATGTTCACCATTTTCCTTTCTTTTGACCGCGTGTCACTGCGCTCGTGGTACACAATAATATTGAAAAGGGGGTACGACGAAATTCCGCGCCGTTCCGACTTTCGAGACGCTACAGTACAACGATAATGTACGCCGGGCGGGTATACTGTACTATTGTAATGATAATTACTATACAGCTGTCGTATCATTAATAAAAAAAAGTAATAATAATAATAATAATAATAAACACGATGTCAGCCCGGCGTTTAGGTATAAGCAATAATCAAGTATGTTATTACGAACTATATTATAATAACGCGACGTAGATACGAAGTATATAATACGATTATTATTATTGTTCCCGTGTCTTGACCGGATTCAGTGCGTGTCGTACCCGTGTCCGCGATGCGACGTCTAACGACGACAGCGCAATGATGATGAATTGATGAAAGTATAATACAAAAAAAATACAAAAAACGACTCGCGAAAGTTTGGTGAGCGACTTGTCGTATGCGCACTATAATATGTACATACATTGGTTATTCTAATATCGTTAAATATATGGAATAAATTTAATGAAAATGATTAACATGATCGAGTTTAAAGTTAAATAATCGAAAAGAAAACCAACTAAATTTTGTATTACAAGTACTATTTTAAAAAAAAAAAATTATTCAATTCTAGATAGCCAATCGAAATAAACCTAACAATAACATTTGGTTTAAATTTCAATTATCCCGCATTACCTATACATAGTAAATTGCAATCATAAAACCATACAGCAGTCTTTGTTCCGGGAAAGAAGGACCCGGGGAAGTTAATTTTTTAAAGTTTTCAATGGTTACTATTATTAGATACATTTTTAAAATTATTTCTCGTACTTTTCGTATCATAAACCATTACCTATTTATAAATACTTATTGATATAAATAAATAAACTTCAAGATCAGGGTATAAAATCAGAGTTTATAAAGTGTTTTAAACAAGTCCCTATATGTTTGACACGTTTTATGTATAAATGTTTAAAACGTTCAAAATTTAAAATAACATAGATAACAACTTAGTATGTTTAGCACCTTTACTGTATTCTACAGAGTAAAGTTATTATTATATATACTTATATATCTAAATCATATTCGTCCTTAAAATATAAATGAAAACAGTTTCTACTTTTGTATAAAGAAGAATTATTTCTCAAATAATTATTGTTATTTCGTTCTTAAATAGTTAACTTTTTTTTATCATATGGTGACCATAAAAAAAAAAATGAAGTTTTTTGTTTAAACGGTTTTTTTTTTTGCAATCCTGATTAAAATAGTAAAAAGTACAAATGTCGTCCCATGAGAATTCAATTTTATCTTTTCAAATTTTCCATACAGAAATCGGAGGTGTACGCGATGTTAACGCGATGTATTCCTCCCACGCCAATACGGTTTGCCTCCGTATTTCGGTCTTTGGGAATCGTTTTGTGTAATAAGAGGCGAAAAAAAAAAACACGTGAAAACACCGATGTCTGATTATAATCGAAAACCCACGCGGTCGGTGTGTCAACGCGCGCGCGGGAACAGCATTCCTTGTACTTTTATGACCTTCATTAATGAAATCCGTGGTGGCAAAGATGCGACGAGTGCGCATAGGTAGACGATCCGGGATCGAGTGTATAATATTATGATAATATATTTTTTTAAACGTCGATTCTTCGGTTTCCGTCGCCAATTAGGCTGCCGCCGTATTATTGTACGCGCGACTGTTACGTTATAGGTGTTCGTTTTTGATAGGTGTGAATTTACGGTTTGTCGTAAAAAAAAAAAAATAAACATATAAAAAATTCGATTTTTCGGCCGGAAATTATTATAACGACCCGTGTGTATTATACGTACGCGTACACTCGTTCGTACACTGGCGCAGGACCGTTTACGATCGCCCGTGTATAATCGACGCGTATATACCTGTTATACTATTTCGGTCGGAGGCGATGAAGAAAATACGACTATAAAATATATGAAAAAAAAAAAAAAATAAAATAAATAAAGAATTATTGAGGAAACGAGAGACAATTCCTAATCAGTTGTCGTATAATATTGTAATAATAATACACCGGCCGCTTGTATAATATTATTACAGGCGGGCGTGTTATATATATAAACACGGAGAAGTACGTTATAATATAGTGGGTATACCGTGGTGTCGTGCAATTGGAATAGCAGTAGTAACAGCAGTGGTGGTAGTGGTGATAGTAGTAGTAGTAGTAGTGGTAGTAGTAGTGGAGGTTAGTGTAGTAGTAGTAGTAGTGGCAGTAGTAGTAGTAGTGGCAGTAGTAGTGGCAGTGGTAGTAGCGTTTCTACAAAAAAAAAATTATTCAAAACGACGGCGGTCGTTAACGAAAACAACCCCCCTACCCTCGCCGTTGACGTGTACGCCGCGTGTAGACGGAGCGTCACCGTGCGCGACGGTCAATCCGCCAGATAGCCGTGTACGATAACATCAAAAATAATAATGGTAATGATAACATTATGGTTGTTCGGTTCCGTTGAACCACTGAAAGAATACAGACGCGACTCGTAAAATACGATTTTCGAGTTATTGCTAATCAAAATATAATATGCAGAATGATTAATTTGGTATTCTCGAATTTTCTCATTTGTTTAATACTGAAGACGGTACGAATTCAAAAGTACGTCCTCACCTCGGCTCAAAATAAATTATAGTTTTCAGTCTAAATATCGACACCTTTGAGATGTGACTCTATTCTGTTTTCCGACTAATGTTGTTACCCGATGTATTTCTATAAAGTCATATCTCACAAGTAACAGTTTCACGTAAGAAAAATTATAGTAGGTACATTTTATAAAGAATTATGAACCATTAAAAGTCGATTTCCCAACATTTCCATAGTTTAATTTATGTCATTATTGTTTCAAGGGTGCGATATAACCAGAGCCCCTTACAAAACGTCCAATAATACAATTTACCGTAACCAATAGATCTCTCACTTCGTTCCAAATCTCAAATGTGCGCGTACTATGTGTACCTGCTGTTGCTATAGGAAATACCGCATATACAAAGTTATTTATAATTTTCGATTTTCTATATAGAACTGTATAAACGGATTCTTTTGTAAATCGTAATACGCGCAGTTTATGTTAATATTAAACGCGATTTCGATATGATTGGTGGTATTAATATGCTGGCTGGTGTGAACACCGGAATTTTCAAAGTCTTTTCGGTTGGAAACGCGGTCAGGTTTTTTTCGAAAAAAACCGAGCCGTCAAAATTGACGAGTCCGTTGAAGTCGATCATCAATCAATACAAAACAGGGAGCATACGTTTACCGTTTAGAAGATCAACGTTATTGATGAAAAGGTTTGTATGTTATGACGTATGCTCACCCCCTTTGATAGGCCACTATCCGCGTCCCGTTTTTCTGATTCTTTTCGGATTCTGTAGGAACGGAAACCTTGTGTAACTTGGAAAACCGTTCGGCGGACGGTAGTGCATTTTAAATGTGTATAATTAAAACAAAATAATAAATATTCATTAACAGTGACGCAACTTGGATGTAATTAATAATAATAACATCCTCTCTTCCCACCAACAAAATTTGAGATTTGTTTGCGAATCCGTAATTAATAGTATTTCTTAAATTGAATAACAGTGATTTTAAAAATTGAAAGTTACGTGTTTTGGACTTAAATTTAGCGTGTAGCGTAAGAACTGTAATTTATATTTTATTTAAAATTTATTTATCTCGGAAGGCGCTTATTTTTGTGTAACTAAAAATTTACCAAGATGTTCATATTAAAATATGTGGATTTTTCGACTATGGTACTGTGTTTGAAACATGTTTGCAGATTCCCAACAGAATAACTGAACAATTTAAAACAGTTCACAACAAAATGACGATTCATTGATTTTCTTTCGTTGAATTTTGGGTTATAAAATAAGGGAAATAATCTTTTGGACCGTATGATGCGGCTGGCTAAGGATTCATCAAAACTGATAGAATTAGATTAGGTATTGATTTCTTTAATAAAGAAATAGAAATATCTAATGCGTTGTATTATTATTAGTTTTTCTTTCTCTTTTATTACCATAATTATAATATACACTTTTGTATTTGTATTTGTATTACTTATTAGAATTAAAATACGTGTTGAACCGTTGTAAAGGAATCCACCAGTTAAAAAAAATAAATAAATAAAATCATTTTATTATTCTAATTAATTTATTAATACTTCGTATCTGTAGCATGCTGATAAAAATATGGGACAGTGGCGAGATCAAAAGGGAACCGATGCCAAAGTATATTTCCCTGAAAACCGGTCTTATACTTTTGAGTATTGGATTTTCAAAACCGATTTTCGAAAAAGTCTTGGCGGATACGCCGAGCTCAAATATTCCAATTGATTTAGGAACGAAGATTTTACCGATGTGCAATTTCGTATCTGGATGGGCGGCGGGTTAGAACGATTATTTGAAATGTACTAAACAACAACCATACTATTGACCGATTGTGTGTATTTTAATTTATAGGAGTCGTCTCTTTGCTTGTTAGCTATCCGATTGATACGGTTAGAGTCGTACAGCAAGTGACCAATACTGGTGCAGTGAAATGTATTCGGCATATTTACAAGGAACACAAGGTAACAGATGCAAATTGACTGGATTGTTGTTTTTATTATTACCAGCCAATGGCATCGGCATATTAATATAATTCGGTGTAGAATACAACTAATGGGGATAATGTAACATATATGTTGTTATACAGACAATATTATTGGATATTGTTGGGATATTGATAAAACGAAATAAATAAACGAACTAATTAATTACGTAATGTTTACTTTTTTTTTTTTTCTAAAGTTTGCAGGGTTTTACAGAGGAATGATTGTTCCGTTTTTGTGTACGGGTGTTGTGAAATCGGTGTCGTTCGGAACTAATGGCTGGACAATGCGGTTAATTCAAAGCTACCGCGGTACGGACGATATAAACATCCGGTATTGTTGCGATGCGAACAACAATATGAACCAACTAAATTGGCATTTCGATATGTTTGTGGCCGGGGCCACCGGTGGATTTTTTGCCACTGCAATAAGTGCACCGTTCGAAGTCGTCAAATTATTACTACAAGCATCCAGTACACAAAACGCGACATATTCATTTAGTTGTTTAATTGTTTCAATTAAATACGAATATTTCAGATATATCGCCAAAACTCTTGAAAATGATTAATCAAAACAAATTTAAACATCTGGTCTTAGAATACAAATTTATTTATTTGTGTCCCGATTACCACGCTGATATAACAGTTGGAACTGATATCGTTTTTAAAACGTTAAATTAAATTAATTTTTAATTTAGGAAAACTCTAAATTATAATTACCTACAATATTAAACGAACAGTTTTTTGTGTTCGGTAAAAAATACTCTTGCGACCCTGTGATATTTTCAGGGGTCGCAAGTGGAACGCCCTGCGATTCCTGGTTTACGCCAATGTGCACAGGCCGCTGGCATTTTCGATATACCAGTATGCCGGAGTGGTAAATGGTACGTGTTCGTAAATGATAAGAACCGTTTTCGGTAACGCGGTCCGTTCGAGTATTATCGTATTAACATACTGCACGCGAAATAAAAGCCTACTCGACGTGATTTTATATAACAAATCGAGATTTATTTTCTAATTATCCATTCACTTCGCTTCGTCTGGGGACCCATATAAATCACTTCGTACGTTTAAATACGTCTAGTAGTATGTTTAGTACTAAAATATTACCAATTCATATAATTATATTATGTACCTATTATTATTGTACACTCTCTCATATTATTCGTCCTTATCGTTTTCAAATAACCGTACCCATCCGACCATTGTCTTCATTCAACATAAGCTTGAAAATGATTAAACCAATAATTGAATACGACCGTGTTAGGTTTGTCACGGTATTGTTATCTATCAGTGATCACCGGTTCCAAATAAACAATACTTCTCAATTCGTGAACACCAAAAATGTTGGTTGGGGCAGTTGCTCATCCTGTCCATACGTGTTAGAAACGCCACTGCATGTAACAAAATTGTCTAATACAAATGCGAGTAAATACAATTTTTTTATTTTACAGAGATGTACCTTGTATTGGCATTTTTTTTCTCTCACATGAACATTTCTGTAGCGTGTTAAAAAAATTATTGGATAATAGCGAAATCAAAACCGAAACGATGCCGAGGTTTATAGAACTTATATCCGGAGGTTTAGCTGGTAAGTCTAACATATTTTGTGTATCCTACAGGAAAAAACATACCTGTATTATATTTTAACCTACCTTTATTAGGTATATTAAATTCAAATTAATTTATTTTATTGCAACTAAAAATGCATTATTCAATGAAATATAGGGCAGAAACCACTCAGTGGAGGATCTAGGAGGAGGATTCAGGGAGTCCTCGGACCCACAGTAATTTTTAATGGTAAAATTGGTTTCTTAAACTGAACTATACATTTGTACATAGCACAGAGATAGTAATTTTCTGTAATAATAAAATCAATATCTTTGTCATTCGCGTGTTTTTTCATGGGTAATCCCGATCTCTATTGAAATAGTTACAGTGTTGCTGAGTGAGGTAGAAAATAAAACAACGTCTGAGTCTGTCTCCGACATAACTATTTCATTATTTATTATCTATGGTTCTGTGGCACAGTACGTCGGCAGAACTGATAAAATTGTATATTTATGACCTGAAAATAAAAACAAAACAATAAATCAGCACTTTAAGCAAATCCCTTTCTTCAAAATGCTGACCTCCTATAAAAAACTAATAATTTTATCAGATACATACTTCTCATATAGCAAATATTATAAATTNTTCGAACGCTTTCAACAATATTTTCAAAATATTCCGAATTTCTTACGGAAAATTATAGGTTTGCATGTTAAAAAAATTAAGTTTGTTTGACCTAAGGGGATTGTAGATATTATACGAAGATATACCTATTGTAATATCTCTTGAGACAAAAAAGATAATCGAAATCTTTTTTTTTATGTTATTCGCTGAAGTAACGACTACAAATATCTATGTTTAAAATAACTATTTAATGTTTAAATAACTTTTTATTTTACTATTTTTGAAAAATTAAAAGATCTGAACTTAAAAAAATTATTAAAAATCACGAATTTAATTTATAAAAAAAACGATATAACAAAATATCAGAAAAACAAACTCTTTAAAATTGTTATCTTTAAATTTTTCAAAAATAGTACAATAAAAAGTAATTGAAGCATTAAAAAATTAGTCCTTATCCCTGTAATTAAATGAGTAATTTCAAAAAAAAAAAAAATAAAAAAAATAGAATTTAATTATCTTTATTATCTCCGGAGATATTACGATGAATATATCTTCGAGGGACACCCTGTATCTTTTAGTTAATCATTACACTTTAAAACTACCCACGTACAGATACGGTAAAATATATATTTACAACAACCATATCGTGTGACATGAAATCACTTTATTTAGCTACATTCCCCAAACAAAAAAAATTAATATATTGGTCCTTACAATTGACCTCTCAAAGAAAGCCGACCACACAGTTCCCGAACCTAAAACTCCGCCGCTGTTATACTACTACCTATAAATTATTTATTATTTAGGTATCACTTGTAAGATTTTGGTGTTACCGTTTGACGTGGTTCTAACTAAATTCATCATAGACAGTCATACCGAAAATCCGCAATTTCAAAATGCATGGGACTGTGCGAAGAAAATATACACGCAAAGCGGCCCGAAGATATTTTTCAGAGGATTCTGTTTACAATGTCTACGAGTATTTCCCACCTGTAGCATAATGTTTTTCGTATACGGAATATTTAACGGCATATGCATTGGTGGTGGTTTTGGTGGTGTTTTTGGTGGTGGCAGCGAACACGACAAACAAACGAAAGTACCTGCTACGGCTACAAAATGGTGAAATTTCCAAAAAAACAAAAAAACACTTACGGCATCATCCATTCCTATCAAATTTTGGTCGTCTTATACGTCCCCACATAATCATTTTCAGTTTATGAAAACCGTATTCATTTTTTTTTTTTTAATTTTTAATACTTTACTATACATTTTTTTGTTTATGGTAGTTTTGTACGGTACATTTCTACAACTTGTAGCAAATATTTTTTTTGGCTTTCTTGTTTTATGAGTACTGGATTGAAATTCTGTGCTAATATCACCTTTCATCCCGCCGAATCTCGACTACATTCCAACTTTGGACTGTCCTCTTCTTCTTCTTTGCAATCGACCATTAAGATCATACATTTATACATACATCTTGCCATTTCACTCTATCCATCGCTATGATATTCCATTCGGCCCTTGGGTTTATTGTTTGTACGTCCTTCTTGACCTGGTCTTCCTATCTTAGTCGGGGTCTTCCTAAGGGTCTCTTTCCTTGGGGAGTCCCTCATTGAACAATTCGTATTAGAGTTCCTTCTTTTCTCCACGCATGTCCTGCCCATTGGAGTCTCCTTTTTTTAATTTCTCTAATTATATCGGGCATTTGGTACAACCGTTTAAGTTCCTCGTTTTTTCGAATTCTCCATTCCCTTGTGGTATCGTCTATACGCGGTCCGAAGTTTGTTCTTAATCTTTTTCTTTCAAATATCAGTAGTCTGTTTTGATCTGATTTCCGTAACGTCCATACTTCACAGTACATCAATTGATAAATACATACTGTTATATTTATGAGTACGTAAGTACTTATGATAATACGAATATATAATATTATAACGATAGAAATTGTTTTTATTATCTAAAGCCGTAGCATTAAGGTTACATTAAGGTGATTTTGATAAAAATAGTAATTCCAATAAAAGTGGTCGAAAAAACAAAAAATACAAATTTTGCTACTCTGCCTGTAACATCCGCTATTCCGAAACGTACACGTTCTGTTTTAAAAAGATTGAAAACATACTTACGATCTACAATGAATGAATAAAAGTTGAATGGTTTGGAATCAGTAACAATAAATAAAGACGAATTATAATATGAAAACACGGAAAAAGAAATATTGAATATTTCATTCAAAAATCCTCTAGGCGGATGAAAGTTACAGATTGGATACCATAATAATTTTAGACTCACTAATATAATAGAAACAGCACAATAACTAGTATTGTGTGAAACGGGCTTTAGGTGTATCAAATATCATACAACTTAAAATCTAATAAACTGTGGGATTTATTTTTCGTTGCTACCCATCCGGGTATCAAATCCATTTCTCTGTACCGATAACGACGGAAAATAAATGTTTCTAGTATACGGAATATTTAATGGCATATGCATTGGTGGTGGTTTTGGTGGTGGCAGCGAACACGACAAACAAACGAAAGTACCCGCTATAGCTACAAAATTGTGAAATTTCCTACAAAATCTATACCGACGGTGTTTATTGTTAATAATATACAATATTATCATCGCGCTTTGTGAATCGTACAATTGCCGTCGAACGTAAGTGCATACGATAACCGCGCGGCATGTGCGGGCACGTTTCCCCGGCCTCCCTAATTTCGTATTATGAATCGTTTTCCTATCTTTCCGTTTATGGCTTATGTGAAGGTTATGGTGCGAATTACACAGAAAAATCACCACCGTCGTTGGATATATGTTTTTATAAATGTATGTATACTAATGTCTAATGTCACTAATGTCCGGTGGAGTTCTCGGGAATTTTCAATGGGAGGTGTGAGGTTGTGAGTGGTTTCTAGAAAAATACGTAAGCGGCTATCAGCACACCCCCTTCTGGTTATGACATTTAATATTGTTTTAGATTCCGTGTGGAATTGTATTGGTTTTACAATGATGTTCGATTTTTTTTTTTTTTGTATGTGAACACTTTCTACCAGAAAGCTTAGTCCGATTATCAAGTTTAGCACCTTTTCCGAAAGGAAATGTTCTTCGGGTGCTTCTTTAAACCGGTAATTTTTTTGAAATTCTCATTAATTAAAATGACCGTCGTGGTGCACCAAACCGGGTAAATTACCATTTAGAAATGGTGATACGGTCTATACTCAGGAGCTGTTTTTTCAATATAAAAGTTGTTCACAGACAGGAAAAAAAATGTACGTTCAATCGAAAATTACATTTATTCGAGTGTATATTATTTTTATTATACAGAAATAATGACATTATCTCTTACGAATAATTATACCCAATTTAAAACTCGTTAATTTATTTTGAACGCTTGTAAAAAAAAAAAAAAAATGCTTATAATGTATATAAATTGCGTATAATATGTATAATAATTATACAATTATAAAAGTTCAAATGGACTACGGACTCTAATTTATGTTTTGATTTTAATTTGACGTCAGAATTTAACAACACTTTATTGGCCGTACACAGTTCGCCGAAAACATTATTATTATTTAAAATTATATAATAATTTATAATAAATATTACACGAGAGACACGTGCAAAGCTGCCGAATAAATATTTTAAAAGTTTTCAAAAAATAATAATAACGTGTTAGAAAATATCTCGGCTATTATTTCTTTTAGTCAAATGTTTTTGACTTTTTTTTAGTTATTTTGTTAAAGTTAAAATGTTTTTTTTTCACCGTGTAACCTATGGTTTTTTATATTTATTTTCGACAAATATTACATATTCTTGCGTGACTAACATACGAATGCAGGATTATGGGATATCCACACAGTGAAATCTATAAAATTTTAAATTTTAGAACACAAAATAAGTTCGTGAGCGTAATGTAAAGAATAATTTAAAAAAAAAGACGGACATACTTCGCACTCGGGTGGACCACTGTTGTAAGCGAGAAGTTGACAAGGTATAATAGGTCTAATGTATATCGGTACGCAACGATTAATCATTGCCAACGAGAAAACGATTCTGAGCGGAGTTCGGTTGATAGTGTTGCTTTGTTAACAATTTATATATGTGATATTATGGTAAAATAAAAGCATGGCATTATAAACATTTTTTTTAATAATATTTGTTTACTATCATACCTATTTTCACTGTTTTCCCATGCTTTATCACGGTCTTTCCCATTTATTGGGAAAACTTCTGAAAAAAATCAATAAAATGATTTTCTCAAAGTGTACCACCTCAATATCAGATTTCCTTTTAGAGAAGATGCCACGCTTGTAAATCGGAGCAAGATTTCTCGTAGAAAATTTCTTTACAGATAAAAAAATAAATAAAATAAACATCATTTTTAAACCAATACATTTCTCGCTCCACTCAGAATCTAAAAGTAACCTCTAACTTTTAACTCAATATGGCGATCATTAGATCACTAATCACTATCGCTGATAGTTGATCACAAAAAAAAAAAACTAATTTACCGTCAAGCCCCGTTCAGACCAATGAAACGTTTGTCGGAAAAATACGTCTTCGAAGTCGTCGCCGAAAAATCGTATGGAAATATTTTGTAGCTGATATTATCGCAAATCCTGTCAGTGACAGAATTTCGTTGTCACTCGAGTAACGGTAAACCTCAGGGGATTTTTCGGCATGTCCGCAACGGTCTCTTACAGATATTTTTACGATATTGTATTTTTATGGGTTTGGTCAGTCAAGAGTTTAGACGCGTGAACCGGTTCGTTAATTGATACATATAACGCAGACATATTGTGTATTACCTGTACGGGTCTCGCGTTAAAAACGAAATAATGGTAGAATGGTTTAAAAGTCTCTCCCCCACCCACACTTATAACGGTTCCAACCTATTAAAAAAAATGTTTTAAGACTACAAAAGCGATGGATCAATCGTCGCGTAACAGACGTTCGCATTAAATTTCCCCTCTACGTTCCCGATTACTCACCCACAACAGTGACCCGTCCGTTGTGCAAAGTGCGTCCGTTCGTTTGTTCGGTTTTTTTTCAATTTTTTTTTTTTTTTTGTGCGTTTTTAACGATTCATACGCTTTTTCGCGGATTCCGAGCGCGCACAAATCCGTTTCCTAATGTCACGATACCGTCTTCGAACGCTGTACCGTCCGCGGGGTCTCGCGGTCGGAACGCGCGGACACGGACAAACAGCGCTCGGACCCGACGCTTGAAATTGGCCCCGGGGGACTCGACCCCGGCGGCCAGCACCTACCCGTACACGTTATACTGTTGTCGCACGATAACTATTATCGTCGTTATTTGGCACACGTTTGCCCGTTCGAAAATGCGGTAATTCGTGATGTTCGCCCGGTAACCACGCGCGCCGGCGCGGTAGACATTGCCGTATCCATTGATAACAATAACAATAATTGTGTATCGGCTTATAAGCCGTTAATTACCGTTGCATTGTGTCCGCGTCGTGGCGGAGACGCCGACGAAAACAAAAAGAAACCCGCGCCGTCGCGCGCTCTAGAGAAACAATGCCCCGGGTGTGATGTCTGTTTTTTTTTTTTTCCTCTTTCAAAACTCTTTAAACGGCGCGACGACGGACACTTCCCTCGTTAATTTATTATCATTATCGTGTATAATACGGAAATATATAACTACCCGTTAACGACTCAATAATATTTCTCGAGAGCAAACGCTGGAAAACGCGTTTGTCTTCGGTCTGGTCGCGTCGTCGTTCACAGAAATCCTCGGACGAGCGTGCGTCGCGGCTACCCCGCACCTATCCCCTGTTATGTGGCGCAGTTGCTTTGGACCAGCGGTTCCCAACCTGTGGTACGCGCAAAGCTCGTAGACGTTTTTTTCCAAAGAACTGGTTTTTTTTTTTTATTTATTATTACCATTCGGCGTGTTCGATATTAGCTGATTTTATCCACCACGTGGGGTTTTGTTGGCAATAATTTAGATTTTAGACAGTGATATTTTCTATATATATATATATAGAAAATAACATGTCCTAACTGATTCATCATCGCCTAGTTCAAGATTTTTTTCCGAGATTTCAATTGTGATTCTGGAAAATGTGGTAGTGTATAAACTGATACCATGGGGTATTCTGAA